CAAACTTGCAGTTGACGAGTCTCGTGGTATGTCAAATAGACCCGAAGAAGTCGTTGCTCTTGTCACGAAAGACATGGAAGAAAAGGATAATGTAGCGGTGGCTATTGAAGGTACCGTAGTTTCAGAAGGAGTTGGAAGGGTTGGGCAGGGAACAAGTCATTCTATTGGAATCTTGTCAGGGAGCAAACAAGGAGCCTATGCAGGTGTTACGAACAATCCTCAGGAGACAGTGGCTTTGCCTGAGGAAATACTTCCAGTTCAGCAGGCAAATGATGTTGGTGAATGTGTTGAAATGTCATGCATAATGGAGGATACTTGTGCTGCTGCTGGAGTGGCAACAAATGATGAAGAAACTGCTTTAGATTTTGTCGTCGATGAGGAGAGGGAGATTTCCTGTAAAGAAGAGACTGGAGGAGAAAGCGATCAGATGGCAATGAAAGATAGCAAGCAGAAGCCTCAGGAAGCTCCTCCAGTTGACATTGTAGAATGTGGAGAAGACATTACTCTTATGGAAAAAGACAATGAGGGTGAACACGAAAATGTTCCTCAAACAGTGGAGGCAGTGGCAACTGGCATTAATATGGCTGCAGTTCTTTTGGGTGTTCCTGAAGAAGGGAGTGCAGACGTGGATAAAGCTCTGAATCTAACACAGAAAGATGCTGAAGATGTGCACAAGAAAGTTGCAGAAGTAGAGGATGCAGAACAGGTAGAAATTAATACTATGGCAAATGGAGGTGCAGATGAGGGGCACAACGAAGTTGCTGAAGTAGAGGATGTAGACATTGCAGAGGCAGAGATGCATGCACACTTTGACACTGAGAAACCTGAGGAAGCTACAGAAGCAGGGCATGCAGATATGGATGACGGTAAGAGATTAACAGGGAGAGATATTGAGGAGCCTGGAGATGTTCTTGAAGGTGCACATGCAGAAGCGGAAAAGGCTAGGGAGCTCATAGAGAACAATGATGATGATAAGCTAGCAGAGTTTCCTGGTATAACACATGCAGAAATGGAAGAGGTAAAGAATTTGATGAAGGAAGATTCAGATGAGAAGTTTGATGAAGTTTTTGATATACAAAGTACAAAAATGAAAGGAACTCATAAGCCAATGGAGGAAGATACTGATGGTAAGCTTCAGGAAGTTTTTGACGTAGAGCATGCAGAAACCAAACATACAAAGGTTTTGATTAAGGGAGTTGCAGACAAGAAGTTTGAAGAAAATTCTGAATTGAGAAGTATAGGGATTGATGGCACTCATGGGCCAATGGAGGAAAGTACTGATGATAAGGTCAAGGCAGTACCCAAAGTGAATGCGGAAGCAGAACAAGTCAATGGGACCATGATGGGCAATGATAGGCCCGACAGCATCTTGCAAATAGACCTTCCAGCAAGGGACGAAACCAGGTGCTTGGCCAAGAAAGATATTGAAGAAGATAATGCGGAAGTTCCACAAAGAAAGCGCGTGAACATAAACAATGAGGAACCAATTGAGAAAGATGCAAAGCAGGCCAAGAAAGATATTGAAGAAGATAATGCGGAAGTTCCACAAGGAAAACACGCGAACATAAACGATGAGGCACCAATTGAGAAAGATGCAAAGCAAAATCCCAATGCAGGTGGCTTGGATTTACCAGAGAAAGAAGTCGATGGGTCCAAAGAGGTTTACCAAGTGAAACGAGAAGAAGGGGAGGAACGCAAGGTGCTAAGGGCGAAAGATACCGAGGAGAATACTAAGGATGCTCTTGGGGTTAAACAGGCAGAAGAACGACAAGGGGAAGCACTGACAGCAGGATATATGTACAACTACATTGAAGAAATTACTCTAGTGGAGCAGGTGGATGGACAAAGCAAAACACTCACAAGGATAGGTGTTGAGGAAAATCCCAAAGATATCACTCAAGAACAGGAAAAAGAATTTGACAACGATACAGTGGAATCTTTAAAGAATTCAACCAATAGTTTGTTATGTAGCCCAGCCATCATACAGTCAAAAGAAGGGCAGAAGGAAGTTCCTGTTGAAGGCATGACGGAGAAGCACTGCCTTCAGGATGTTGGGTTGATAAATGAGAGGGAATCATTGTCTGATGGAGCTGCTATGGAGATTCAAGGAGTAGATGACCACAAAACTTTGGACATGCATGAGGTGAGTATGCTTGTAAATCTTTTACTGTATTAACTGGTAGGGTAGTTAATATGATTGTTCTCTTTTGCAGGAAGTGTCTATTAAACAGATAAATGAGTGTGGAATAATATTCACAAATAAGGAGACACAAATATTGGAAGACAGCCATATGGTAGGAAATGGATCTAATGATTTCGTTCTTATGGAGGTTGATGAAACTTGGTCTACAGTCGAAATTCAGAACCAGGAGGCTTTGGACTTGGACAAGGTGAGTGCACTTGCAGAATCTCCATCTGAAATATCTTTTCTGAGTCCTGATACTTGATCTTTTGTAGCAACAAACAACGGAGGAAAGACAAGATTTAGGACCTACAATCGAGAACAAGAAAATGGCAATGTTAGGAGATGTCATTACGCTTGGGTGCTGTGAGTTTCAAGCTGATTCACCTGAGACCAAAATTAATGAGGTCCTGTCTACCAAAGGAATACAGAATCAGGAGCATTTGGACATTAAGGAAGTGAGTCTACTGACAATATAATGTTTTCTTTGATTGGTGGAATCTGATCATACTCTTGTACAGGAACAAGCATCGGAAAAAGAATTGGGGTGTATAATCACAGAAGGAAATGTAAGACCCTTGGTAGTGGTCGATACACTTGGTGGTGGTGGAGCAGATACCACTGTGGCTATCGTGGATGTTAACAAGGCGAATTGTGTTGAAGGAATACAAAATATGGAAGCGTGCGGCAGTGAGGAGGCAAGTACAACTTTAGAATAGCAATCTGACTATGATTCAATCTGACAAGGCTGTTTTACATTTGCAGGCAAGGCAGGACAAACAGGACAATGGTGTTGGAGATGGGAGGATCTTGGAAGACATGAGCGCCAATGATAGTGGTGACGTGGGAACACGGAACCAGTGGGATTTATGCATGGAGAATGTAATGGAGCTTTGAGCCCTAACCCCACCCCTTGCATGTGGGTCTCTCTATATACATATACTAGTAGAATCTGATGGATATTGTCCACAGGAACTGGTGGTGCTGGAGAAGCAGGACGAGGGAACAACAGATGAGAACACAGGGAGAATGTTGGTTAACACAGATGCTCCTGAATGTGGTGAAGCAAAACCTGATGGGACCTTGAAAATGAATAATGATGTTCTTTGTACACAAGCTGTTAACATGGCCGAGGATAAAATTTCTTTGCAAAACCAGCAGAAATGTGTGCCATTGGGAGACCACAATAAATCAGATCCACAGGAACCGACGGTGCTGGAGAAGCAGGACGAGAGAACAACAGATGAGAACACAGGGAGAGTGTTGGTTAACACAGATGCACCTGAATGTGGTGAAGCGAAACCTGATGGGACAATGCAAATGAATAATGATGCTCTTTGTACACAAGCTGTTAATATGGCAAAGGATAAAGTTTCTTCCCAAAACCAGCAGAAATGTGTGCCATTGGGAGACCACAATAAATCAAATGCTGAAGGCTCTGGATGGAATCAAACTGCAAGAAAAGAGTCCAAGGGGGATCTTCAATCAGAGTTTGAACATGAGATAGAAGTGAAACAAGAAATTTTAGAGAATAAGACAGAGTTGTCCATTGGTAGAGAGAATGATGAAGCGTCTGAACAAGAGCAGACCTACACAGAGAGTGCTTCAATTGCTCCTTCAGGTATGGATCACCGGGGTGAGAATAATAACAAAGGGGCTGAAGAATCGATAAAAAACGATGGGAAGCATGTTTCTGATCCAGTAAACACTGGTTGCCAGACCAGTAAATTTGGCCGACCAAGTATTGAAGAGGTCAGGAGAACACATAGTAGCAGTATATCTGTCTATCTGAAAGACATCACAGTATATCAGGAAAGAATTCGTTCTGATCCATCAAAGAACACACATATAAACAATGTTGGGTATTATTCTCGACATGGAGCTGTGGAACCAGTTTCAGTCAGCAAGGATATCAAAGTTCCATTGCATGATACTGGGAGGGTTTGTGGAAGAGATCGTGCACTGGAGTTGGTGACAGGTCCACCAGAAGAGACGCCTCGATGGAGACAAGAGCAATATGCACTTAATATTTTAGAAGATGTGCAAAATGCTCGCATTGCTGAGAAAACTAGGATGGAGATGGAGATCAGAATACTGAAGGCACAGATTGCTAGCATGCAGAGACAAGTGATGAACATGGATCATGTTGGTGAGGTTATTTCCAGATCAAAAAGGCATTGACCTTTAATTAGCTCCATGCTAAATGATAGGTTTGCATAAAATTTCATGTAGAACTGTACTTTCTTTGTGAGATCAAACACCGATGCAGGCTAGTTTGTTTCGTTTGTGTTGATTCTCATGAAGGTCGGTATGCACCTTTCATCTTGGGTGAAGTTTATTTAAATTCTTTGCTTTCCAGAATGAAGGTGAGAGTTGCAATCTAAATAAAATAGGCCTCCAGAAGTTAATGTGTAGTGGCTGAATTTTAACCTGCCTAAATTGATCCAGTTGAGAAGACGAATTGGCTGGTAGGTTTTGGTGCAAAGTTAGTTTCTCATAAAATTCTGGGTGTGTAATCACGTATTACACATAAGTAACTTCTAGTTCTGTTATAGCTTGCAACGATGAAAACAAAGGCAAATACTCATCACCGAGCATTCTTTCAGCTGTTTAAAAAAAGATCTCATACTTTCCGTGAAACAGTAAAAATATTACAACCTTGCATTTAAATACGGCAACACCCAGCCAGTTTTATTTATAGGGTCTTAAAAAAAGGAAGGTAAGAAAAAAAGGCTCGTCAACCACTTGTATCCATAGAGATACAGAGTTCATTGCTCAGAAATACACTATAGGTAGCAGTTAACCTGCAGGAACTGAACTAGACAAGAACAGGAGCCGGAGGAGGAGCAGCAACCGTCCGGGCTGCCACTGATGATGCCGCTGGCTTCCCCCGGCCCATTGTGAACCCACGTGTCCCGTCGGGCATCCTCGGGCCCTGGGGAGGCTGCCTGGGGCTGAATGGGCACTTCTGAGAAACCTGCCTGGGGCTCAATGGGCATTTCTGGGACGCCTGGCGAGGGCTCGATGGGTCAAAGTGGCCGACTGCGCCTGCGGGAGCAGACTGCGGGCTGTGCGGTGCCACGATATGGAGCTTCCCTCGCCCTCTTGCCCACCCTTTCTTGGCCCCACTCTGGTGATCCTCTTGCTGTGAAATTGGCAGATTGCATGAGACAAGAAACCTTGAACAACTGCCTGTCCAACTGAATGGAAATCGGCACTGGAACTGTAGCCAGTGATGTGCTTACATGAGCTTCAGGTGAATGGATAGCTTCTGAAGTTGGGGAGTCGGATGACACCTGTGAGTGTGGCGATTCATCATCGGAACCAGCATAGTGGTCGAAATCAGGCCGCTTGAGCCTCATTACTGACTTGGGCTGTGACAAAATCATGGAGTTGCAGTAAAACAGGTATGAGTAGCTGATGCTGCATTGCCTGCAGATCAATACTGATTTGCAAGAAGAGGGTTCTTACAGAGCGCCTGAGTACTGTGCGCACACGGAGGCCTTTCCTCCAGTTCCGCTCATCGTTTAGCTTCTCTACCTGCCAGGAATTATTTTGAAGGTGCACCCATCAGTCTAACTACATGAAGAGCCAATGACCTGAAAAAATGACCAGCACTGTGGTGGTAAATACTCACTGCTTTCTCAGCTTGCTGTGAGGTCTCATATTCGACTAAAGCATGCATCTTCCACAAGAGCACAAGGTAAAATAGTTACAACATAATTTTGCTGGAAAAAAATGTTTACTGTTCTGGACCTGATCTAGGCAAACATCAAACTTGTCAATCTACACAATGAGCCCTAGATGGTATGATTGTGACACATGTAGATCCTCTGGTGGTGCACTAAGAGTTGAGTTGAGTTGAAGAGGTGAAATAAATACCTTGTTACTCACTAGTGTGTCTGACTTGGAAGCCCTGGCTGAGCTAGGCTCTTGGGGGTGGCATATCTTGATGTTCTTCACACTGGTTGGCATGCCAGTTACATCGTTAATGGACGTCATCAGTTCCTACATATGTTTATTTGTTGACAATTTGAAAACTGTGGGGGAATTAGTTGCCTTTTCTGACCTTCCAACGACACTGAAGACCTTCTCGAGGCTGTTTCTTGATGAGTCCTCTGGCAAATTCTCCGCTATGATCATCCGAGACTGCACAGACAAAAGAAGGTTCAGTTGTGGGTGGGCGGGCCAGAGATGAGATGGAGTCTTTGTAGACCTGAAGTTCTTCTTTGTGCTTCTCAGTGAAGGGCTGCCTGCGCCGAACTTTCTTCCCATCATCGCTCACAATCTGCAGCCAAAATTTCATTATCCTGTGAGAAGGATGCTTCATCTGGTAGCTTCAACAAACAATGGCTATAGGTTGCAAGGAGCAGCTTAATTACAAGCTTTGTGGAGGTGCGGAGAGCCTTAACCAGCATCTGGTTGGTTGCTCCGAGAGACTTGATCTTCTTCCATGATGAAATGACTGACAAGGGAACTGTATGCATGTAATAAAGAAATAATATGTCTAGCTTAGTCTGAATGTTTTATACTGAAGTACTCTTTCGCTGCGTGCCTGCGCTGCAGAAGAATACGTACGTACAATCTCTTGTGAATGAACATTGTTTCCTGTGCTTACCGTAGCCTTCGGAGTCCTTGTTCATGATCTTGAGCAAGAACTCGTTGGCGACCAGGTTAATGTCGCTGAACTGGTACTCGACCTGCTTGACGATCTTCTGTGCGACGTCGGCTCCGCCGCCGCCGGTGCCCTTGGCCTGGGCGCTGTTGCTGGCGGCGGCCGCGGCGGCGGCGAACTTGGCGTGCGCGAAGTCGGGCATGAAGAAGACGGGCTCGTGGTCATGGAGGAAGCTCCAGTCGGGCGCCGGCTGCATCTGCAGGAAGGGCGAGTAGTAGCCGCCCGCAGGCGCGGACATTGGCGTGGCGGTGGGCGACATGGGCACGAACTCCGGCGCGTGCACGTTGAACTTGAAGGACGCCGGCGCCGACATGGGAGTGGGCGGCGCCGCGGTGGCGGTGGCGCTGGCGTCGGGGTCAGGGCTAGGGCTAGGGCTGCTCTCCTTCGCGGCGGCCATGGCTGGCGGTCAGGTGGAGACCCAGGAATGACGGATGGATCGTGGCCGGCGCGGCGAGCCTATATAAAGGCGGGTGGGGGGAGGAGGAATGGTTGGTCTGTGCGTTTCATGGCCGCTTCTCCCGCGCACGCATGCACTGCACGCCCGCATGTCTCGTCTTCTCCCGCCCTTGACCCTTGACCCCAATGAGGGACTCCGCTTACATCTAGGGCCCCTAAATCTCCCTGCTAATTTCGACCTGCGCCTCCACTCATCTGCCACCTCAATCGCCACTAACCCCTTCTCTGCTAGCATCACCAAACAAGCAAGCTAATCTTGCACTAGTGCAGTAAATCTGCAACTGCAACGTTGCACCAGCACACCAAAAAAGAATCTGCGATGCTCCCAAAAAAAGGCCAGATTTGCCATGGTTAAAGATCTGACATCAGATTTGTATGAAAAAAAGAGAGGCCAAAAACAACAGAACATTGCACATTGCACTAGAACGGAAATGGTTGATATCAGCAAGTGCTAACTGTATTTCCATCACGCAGAAACAACGGTATCTTCTTGTCCACGAGGCTAGAAATTTTATAGAGCTAACAGAAGACAATTTGCAAGGAAGAAACAATGGCAACACGCAGGGATTTCATGTCCTCGAGACACTAGCAGAGCTCAAGTGTAAGATTTAACTGGAGACGCCGGGTAAGAACAAAACATCTCCTCAGGCCATGATCTTTGCTGACCTCATGTAAAGGCTCTCGACAACCTTCCCCACATTCGAAATTGTTTCCAGCGTAGCTGGGAAGATCGCCTCCGTCTTGGCGTCTTCGAAGATGATAAGGCAGCCCGCACCCTGATCCAGAGTCCCTGCGAATTTCTTGTCCAGGATCATCTGTGACAGCTTCTTCTCAACATGCTCGATTGGCAGCTCGATCATCTCTGCTACGTGCGCAATATCCACCCTTGAGTAGGCTTCAATCAGCCTGCACAGGTTCTGCTCCAGGAGGGTATCATACAGAGACGAGAGGTGCCTGTGGACAATAGGATCCTCCTCCAGCTGGGCCTTGTAGTCACCAAGAGCGGTTTCAAAGTACTTGAGAGATCGTTTTGAGTAGGCATCTGCAACAGCTTTCATAGCATCCACATCAGGACCAACATACTTCAGGCCTGCCTTAGACGAGATTACTCCTGCAACATCATCAGCTTGGTTGACCATTATCTTGCACAGAAGCATGTACTTCAAGCAGAAGATGGCCTTAGGGTCATCCAGTGCATTAAACCCTTCAAACGCTTCAAAGAAGTAACTGTAGGCGGTCTTGTAATCCTTCTCTTCAGCATGAAGGATTCCACTCTGCAGGTCAATAGTGCCCTGCTGCGCTGGCGGAACATAAATGGCATTCGCTGCAGTTCTTGCGGCAGTCAGAGAAGCCTTGGCCTTTGGAAGGTTCCTTAGAGAGAAATGGAGTTTGCTCTCCAGAAGGTCAATGTCAACAAGAAGCAATTTGTCATCCAGCCTCCTCACTTCCTTGATAAGACCAGAAAGAAGGGTAAGAGCTTCAGTGTACTCCTGACTTTCCAAAAGAAGGGCTGCTAGTCTTGCTTCTACACGCTGCCTCAGGAAGGTACGTTTCTCTGCACGTGTCCATTCCACCATCTCCTTGCAGAGTGAGACCTGAAGATCAGATGTTCCAGGTATCTTGGAAACGGCATCAATGATGCCACGCACAATCTTTGCGGTCTTTGCCTTGGGAATCAGTGCGAAAAATGGCCTGAGCTGGGTCAACAGATTCCTAAGTTCCTCGGCTCTGTTCTCTTTTGTGAGATAGTTTGTCAGATTTGTAATGGCAACTTCTTTTGTTCTAACTGCATCTGAAGAAGAAGACGGGTCTTCAAGCACACGGTAGAGGATTAAAATGGACTCTGAAGCATCCTTAGCTTCCTGAGCCATTGCAATTGACTCAGTGGTAGCAGGAAGATACGATGATTGCATCGCAGACATGGTCAGTACACCCTGTCACAACAGGATATGGATTATTCAAAAATAAATCAGGTCGACGAAGAAGGCAGTGTAAATAATAACCAATAGAGTGGACAACACATAATACTCAAGCATCTGGAGGGCATAAATATGAAGAGAAGCTCGGCCAACATAAACCAAATAAAAACAGCTTTAATGGTTCAATTGGTACGCAACTAGTTGCAGCACCTTGTTATTTACTGAGGCCCAAAGTCAAGAACGAAAAACAGATATACTTATACAGAACCTAAGATCAGACACTAAATTCACCATCTTTGGCAACCAACAAAACACCTAGTTAATACACCAAACATTATACTGAATCATCTGGAGAGGAACGTATTAAGAGGAGCTCAGCCAGTACAATGGCTCAATAAACTAGTTTCAAGACATAGTTATTCAACTAGGCCTAACATTAGGATTTGAGATGCAGATATACTTGTACAGATCCTAATATCAGCCACTTAAAATGCAAAAGAACAGCTTAAGGTTTCAGAAGGTAAGTCAGCTCCTATGCATTTTGGAATAGCTACATCACATTGCAGACTTGAAAATTAGAACATATGTACCGACACCTTGGTAGCTGGCATGGCCTAAACCCTACCACCGTCATGGCTGACATGCATACTGATTAGAGTTGAGAGATACCGTAAGTAAAAGACTTGTGAGATACAGTAAGTAAAGTTAAGAAAATTGGGCGAAATCGCCACTGTACCCCAAGCCTTCAGCCTATATCTCATCAAATGCCAACAGGTGAGAAAAAGAAGTTACTAATGGCGTTTGACAGATTTCTTGATGGAAAGCAACAAGGCGTTAAATTAAATTGATGATTCCCCTTCTCAATTCGGTGAGGTTCCATGGGTATTTTGCGAATAGAGTTGGCTCGACAGCTAACGAACAAATCCATATGAAGATGCAACAACCTAGAACTGAGAATCCCCCTTTAAGAATCGCTCCCTTTGAGCCCTCAGGAGCCAGATCTCGTCCTCAAACCAAATCAAGCAGCGCGAGCTAACAGAAGCACCGGACCACGACTGTAATCGAAGAAACTGGATCCTACTGACATTACAAAATAAAGACACGAATTCGCCACGGCGGGGCTATCCAATCCGAAGTAAGACTCAACCCTAACTGGGACGGCGGGATCTAGGAGATTGGGGGAGGAAGGCGGGAGAAGAAGAGACGGGGGAGGGACCGCAGTACCTGGCGAGCGATGGCGGATTTCCTGCAGAGATGACACGGAGCGGAGGAAGCAAACTCTCAATGGCGGCCGGCCCAATGGGTAGAAGGAACTGGACTTGGAGAAGAAAGCTGGTGCTGGTCTGTTCTCTTGAGGTTGCTAGTTTGCGTCGAGGACGTGGAAGTGTTTGCTACGTCTCCCTGCCAAACGGGTCCCGGTTGCCTGACTCTCAGATTTCTCTCCTTTTCACAAGTTATTTTGTTTGAGTTGGATACAAAGAAGATCAGAAGGTGAGGACAGCCACAAGTGACGTTCCAGACTAGTCTTGGTCATGGAAAGCCCGGCCCGAAAAGGCCCGACCTGGATCGGCCCGACGCTGCTCCCGGGCCAGGCTCGAGCCTAGATTTTGAGCCCGATGGCCGAGCCGGCCCGTACCTGGGCCTGGGTTTTTTTTGCCTCGGGCTTGGCTAGGCCCGGCCCGGCCCGAGGTTTGGCCAGGTATATCCCAGACTAAGAGTTATAGCGAAACGAGTTAGTCTATGAGCCTTCATGTTACATGAGGACCGTTCATGGCCCCAAGGAAGAAGATCGCATGGTGTTTATCTCCTTAATGATCATGCAGTTATCATCAAGCTACGTGTCAGACCGAAGATTTTGAATGACTCTTAGACAGTCAGAAGCCATCTTTACTTTGTTTAAAACCAGATCTTCAACGAGGATGAGAGCGTGCAATAGGGGCATGTTTGGTAGGCCGCATATAGCCCAACCAAGTCCGTCTAGTATGAAATTGGGTTGTTTGTTGACTGAGTCGCATCAAAATGTTAACTCGCACAAATCTTAAAACACCCGCGGACATGGCTGAGGGGATGGCCGAATTGATAGTTTTGCCATGCCTCTTCACAGGGAGGAACCCATTTGTTTTGTCAAGCCCCTTTTGTTTGCAGTATGTCTTGTTTATTTCAGCTGTTCATAATGTGATGCTCTATATGTGTAACATTTTACTGTGCAGTTGTGACGCCCCCGATTTAATCGTACACTAATCATACACGCAAACGTGTACGATCAAGATCAGGGACTCACGGGAAGATATCACAACACAACTCTACAAATAAAAATAAGTCATATAAGCATCATATTACAAGCCAGGGGCCTCGAGGGCTCGAATACAAGAGCTCGATCATAGACGAGTCAGCGGAAGCAACAATATCTGAGTACAGACATAAGTTAAACAAGTTTGCCTTAAGAAGGCTAGAACAAACTGGGATACCGATCGAAAGAGGCGCAGGCCTCCCGCCTGGGATCCTCCTAAACTACTCCTGGTCGTCGTCAGCGGGCATCACATAGTAGTAGGCACCTCCGGTGTAGTAGGAGCCGTCGTCGAAGGTGGCGTCTGGCTCCTGGGCTCCAACATCTGGTTGCGACAATCAGGTAGAAGGGATAGGGGGAAAAGAGGGAGAAAGCAACCGTGAGTACTCATCCAAAGTACTCGCAAGCAAGGAGCTACACTACATATGCATGGGTATCAAATGGAATAAGGGTATCATATGTGGACTGAACTGCAGAATGCCAGAATAAGAGGGGGATAACTAATCCTTTCGAAGACTACGCTTCTGGCAGCCTCCGTCTTGCGGCATGTAGAAGAGAGTAGACTGGAGTCCTCCAAGTAGCATCGCATAGTATAATCCTAACCGATGATCCTCCCCTCGTCGCCCTGTGAGAGAGCGATCACCGGTTGTATCTGGCACTTGGAAGGGTGTGTTTTATTAAGTATCTGGTTCTAGTTGTCATAAGGTCAAGGTACAACTACAAGTCGTCCTGTTA